ACTATAGCCATTCAACATTACAGTATAATTGAGAGCTATCAATTTTAACTTCTATTAGACTTTAAAAAATAACTTCTAATTTAAGTGAACTTAATTCAATCTTCACATAAACCCATTATAATAAATGTCATATTTACCTGTGCCCTTCAGCAGAAATATACAGAAATTGAAGTTATCAAACACTAAATTAAAAAGATGAATCCTTAAAGCTATAAAAGCTTTTTTTCTTTGTCCTTTCATTAACAGACATCACAGCAGCTGGTTATTAGGTTGCTTTGGCTGCTATTTCTTTAAGAGCTGCCGCTGCTGAACTTGACGCGGATCTGACATACATCATTTTTTTTCAACTCTTTTTACCTTTTCTGACCCACTTCAGGTCTTAAAGTCTCTATTAATAGCTGACGAGTTAAATCGGGTGTGTTAGATGAGTGAGACAGTGCTGGACTGCTCCAGGACAGTTTTGAAAACCATTTCAGAGACATGTTCTTTAATGTGACTCATAAAATATATTACATGCATGCATAGTTTTCAGGCAGCTTTAATCGCCTTTTTGGTAACTTTATGCGAGCACAGTACTGTTTTCGCACTCGTTTGACTCGCGCCTGGCGCTGAAGTGAAGTGGAGCGCGCGTCTGAAATGTCCCCCATTCTCAGTCATTTTGCGACTGAATAAATGCAGTTCTTGTCAAGAGCAAAAGTGACAGAAACAGCAGTTGTGAGTGGGGTGGCCAACCCTATCCCCGCCCCTGCATTAATTGTGTTACATATTTTTTACGTGTTAAACTGAAAAAATTAATCGCCTGCGTTAACGCGCTAATTTTGACACCACCAATTTATATATATTTTTTTTTTTACAAAATGAGATTTAAGACAAATTATAAATGAAAAGGTGGCCTTTTATTATTTCTCAGACAAAATGCTGCAATTTCTTTGTGAAATTGAAATATTAAACAATAAAACTAACTTGGAATTTTAAAACAAATCTCAAATAAAAAAAAATTATACAACTAAAAGAAATCTATTCATATAAACAAAGGCTTTGCCTGTGCTCTATTTAAAATCAGAGGCAACCAATGCATTTGAATTACTATCAAAAAAGATGCTAAATACATGTTATTTGGATTGTATAATTTCAAAATTTGAAGCAAAAACAGAATGGTCTGATTTTAGCTTTGTGAATGAGACGCAAATGTCACTCTCTGACAGCAGGTGGCACTAATGGAACAGCAGGTATTTATAGGCTGCTGCCCCTTTAAGGCTGAATGCACGGATCCAATATAATGATGCACATTATAGAGATTTCTTTCTCCACTGTTTACACTCACTTAAGACATAACCGACTGTGTTTTCGAGAATACTTGCCGTGACAGTTATTTTGAGATAATTTTGTGTGTATGTTTTCATTCAGAAGCAAGGATACTCGAAAGAGGAATCAATTGTGTACACGCATTGTCTGAAACTGCTTTGAATGAGTGCGCGCAAAAACCAGCACTCTAGCTCCGGATGCGCGCAAATGTTTTAAAACGCTTGAATGTTTAAATCGGCAAGACTTACAGTAGGAGCAAGTGCAAACGATACACTGTGATCCGTTTCACCCCTACAAGCGAGTGAACAACTCGAATCAAGTTACGAATTTTATTCGTTAGCGGTTTTATTGTAGCGGTGATACATTTTGGTACCCCGACTGGAAATCACAATAGCCCCGGGACGTCGGGCTAGTGATTTAGCGAGCCCTGCTGTGCATCCCTTTTCATGTTCAACATCACACCCCACAGTGACAGCAGAGGCCATTAAAAACAACAAAATATGCTAGGGCTGGGAAAAAAAATCGACTTCTCGATTTTAATTGATTCTCATTTTTATAAACCAATATCGATTCTTAAATCCCAATCAATTCCTCCCCATCCAGTAAATCGCAATAGGCTAAGCTTTGTGCGTTGTTACTTTTGACACTTTTAAATTCTGTCCATTTTATTAGGAAATTCAAGCAATAAATACCGTTTTGGCGCTCTTTAATGTGGCGTGATAGATCGCTGTAGACGCCTCAGATCAAGCGAAGCAGCAGCGCACGTGAACTGATCATCTCTTTGGCTTTACTAGTGGATACTCGCCTGTGCGTAATCAAAGCCATAGCAAAATATTGGTGTTTTTAGTTTTGTTCTGGAGCTGATGATCCCGTGCTCTGCTGCCACACTGGAGCGCACTCGCCACCAACTGGACAGGGGTGGGAATTACTGTTATAAATTAGATCACCCTCAGAGTAATCTGTCAAAGTGATGGACGGCCTTCAGATTTTTCCATCACTGCTAAAAACATTCGTTAACGAGACCTCTGGTGTGTGTGTGTGTATATATATATATATATATATATATATATACGGATGCTCGACGACTGACCAAGGTGGAGCCGGAGGGACGAGGGATCCCCGTGGAGCCAGTGGGATGACGGGCCACGGTGGAGACGAGGGAGCTAGGAGCCAAGACGGAGCCGATGGTTCGGAGGACCGGGGTGGTTCAAAATATATACTGTATGTGTGTATTTAATTAAATATACACAGTACACATACATTTTTTACGTAAACAAAAGCTTTTATTTTGGATGCGATTAATCATTTGACAGCACTATAAAGTTCACGTTTGTCACGAGGATTGACTCCTTTTCTGAATATTGCTCACTAGACGACTTCACGCAAAAG